GGGCCGAGCCCCCGCCAGGGTTATCTAGACCAGCCAGATAGGAGCCCCCAGAGCCCCGGAGGCGCCGCGGCCTCGTTAGCGCTAACGAAGCGGCCGCCCCGGGGGCAGGGGGGTAAAGGGGGGCTGCGGTTCTCGTGTCATCTGTGCAGACATGTCTGTGGCGTGTGCCGGCCCCGGCGCCCGTCCGAAGGCACCGCGGCGAGGCGGCCGCCGGGCCGCGTGCGTGGAGGGGGGGCGCACGCGTGTCCCGTTGCACACGCGCGTCGCATTGCACGCTTGGCTTGACGTGCACACGTGTGGCGGGGGGTGCATGGCACCCGCGGGGTGCATTGCACGTGTGTGTCCCATTGCACGCGCTTGTTGGGGGGTGCTGGGGCCTTGCATTGCACACGTGTGTTGCATTGCACATGCATGTTGCATTGCACACATGTGTTGCACACRTGTGTCCCATTGCGCGCAAATATTGGGGTGCACTAGGGCTTTGCATTGCACCCGCATGTTGCGTTGCACACGTGTGCCATTGCATGYGCATGTTGGTGTGCACGAGGGCTTTGCATTACACCCACAAGTTGCATTGCACACGCATGTTCGTGTTGCACACGTGTGCCCTGTTGCACGCACGTGTTAGGGTGCGCTAGGGCTTTGCAATTCACACGCATGTCGCATGGCACCCGCACGCTGCATTGCACCGGCGCATTGCATCGCACGCGTGTTTTGCACGGTGCGCACGCGTGTCGCGGCGCACACGTGTCCCGGCACACACGTGTCGYGGCGCACGCTGCTCTGGAGGATGCACACACGTGCAGGGATGCGCATGGGTCCCGGGGTGCATATGGGTGCCCTGGGCAGGGCACAAGGGTCCCGGGCACGGAGAGGCCCCTTGGGGTGTTGGGGAGCACATGGGTCCCCTTGGGGGGGGCACCGCAGTCCCAGGGGCACCCAAAGGTGCCAAGGGGCACCCGGGGGTATCAGGGATGCTCTCGGGTGCCCAGAGGTGTACCCGGATGCCCGATGGGTGGCACAGACACCCAGGGGTGCCCATAGGGCCTTGGGGGTGACAGGGAAGCAACTCGGCACCCAAGGGTGCCCATAGGGTGCTAAGGGAGAGTGCCAGCGTCCRAGAGTGCATTTGGGCACCCACAGACAGACGCAGGCACCTGGACACACCAAGGACGCCCCGGAGCACCTCGGGGTGCCAGGCGTGCACCCATGGGTGCCAGCACAGCGTGCTGGCCCCCGAGGCTGCGCATGGGCAGCCAAAGGGGAGCAGGAGCACCCGAGGGTGCCACAAGCGTGCGCGAGGCCCCAGGGACCCCAGGCTCGCACCCGAGCACCCAAGGGCACCCAGGACCCCCCTCGCCCCCCATCCCTGCCCCAAGCCCCCCCCCCAACCTGCAGCCGCCCCGCAGCGCCCATGGGTGCCCTCCCGACGGCGGCGTCACACGGTGCTCTCGAGCATCCACTCGGTGCTGCCGAAGGGCGGGCGGCTCCGGAGCGGCTCCGGAGCGGCGGCG